GCGCTGCAACTCCCGAAGCCTGTGCATCGCAGCTAGAGAGCAGCCCCCACTCTTTGCAACTAGAGAAAGCCGACATGCAGCACCAAAGACAGGTGATACTGCTGTCAGTGTGGCTATTGTTTTTTCTTACAAGGTGGATTGTGATTTCTTGCTGAAGTCCTAGGTCTCCGGAATCAGGGTCCATACATTGCCTACAGTGAGAGGTCAGAGGGCGGGACTGGCCTCTAATGAGCCCTTTGGGCCTGGGTCTTCCTAACCCACCCCTGATCTGGGACCAGTTCCCGGACCTCTCCAGTTGGGAAAGGTATGTGTGGGGATGTCGTGGAACTGACTTCTCCTCCCCTGCAGGTTCAGCAGTACCGGGTTGCCATGACTGCGAAGGACTGCTCCATTATGATCGCGCTCTCTCCTTGTCTGCAGGATGCAAGGTGAGGCACCTTCTGCTGTGTCACGTATCCTTGGTCTAGTAAGGTTTTGTGGCTTGGCAAGAGAGTTGGTGTTTTTATATTTAGAGAGGCCCTTGGAGGATCATGTCTATAAACAAAGGCCAATTTCCAAGGCCTACTTAATACAATGGGGATTATTAACTCTTGCTCTTTAGAAGTTTGTAACAAGTCAAATAGACATTTTTGAGAATAATTTTAAAAGCTTGTTCTATTAAATTCAAGATTACTACTATTTTCTACAAAAATATCTCAAGGACTTTAGAAGCAGTTTAGATGTTGTCATGCAAATACCTTTCTGTCAAAGAAAACCCCAAGTTTCCATCATGGCTCAGAGGCCCAAGAAGCTGTAGGTTACTCTAGGTCTTATTTTCCTTCCTTTTTCCAGGTCCTGATGTGCCAACCTTTATAGTCATTTCAAAGCCTTTAAAACAACATTCCATTGTTCTGTTTCCTCTTTGCAGCATCTCTCCCAGGACATCATTATCCAATCCTATCCCTGCCTTTTTTAGGAATTCAGGATGAACCTGATAATCTTCTCTCATTGATTAGATGGCATCTTTAGCATTAATCTTCAGGGTGTCAAACCCCACACACGGTTTTGTGGAATGTTCCATAATCTTCTGATATGTGTTCCAGGGTCAAGATGACCTTGTGTCCCTGGCTGCCAGCCATTCGGTTTTCTGATGCTTTTGAACTAAACATTCCTAGGAGTCCTGCTTCTTGGCAGGCATAGGATTGTCCACTTTCTGATAGGAAACACGGAGGGACATTTATAGGGCATAACTGAAATATTTTTAAAAGAATTGTTTAGTTGAAATCTCTCATTATCCCCTAAGAAAATGCTCCCAGTTCTTAGCAGCAGGAATTCATTTGGATTAAGCTACTGTTGTTAGATGAGAGAAAACCACACAAATGTTATTATCTATTGCCCTTCCTGAAGGAAGGAAGTAGTCAGGACACAGAAATGTGATGGGGTCGGGGCCAGGAGTCCTGACACCCTTGACCAGCTGCTCAACAGAAATTGACATGTTGGGAGAGGAGTGAGGACGTGTGTCCAGGACGTGTGCCCATGTGGGCACCTATGTCATCCACAGGGTAGAGAAGCATTTTAGGTATCAGAAGACTCAGATCTTGGCTCACTGGGAGCTTGAGGCTGACCAGTAGGCTCCTCAGGAGTGGCCCTTGCGCCATGCTCTCACCAGACTCTATGTGATGGATTCCTTTCTTGATTCACATCTTATTGGGTGTTGGTTCTGATGTGATGTGTGGTTTCCTATAAAATGTGCAGCCCCGGTGAGGGCCAGAGATGCTCACTGTCCTAGCCCAGCTGCATGAAGCTTGGGTTTCAGGCCCTGAGAGTGAAACTCAGAAGCAAGACCTTAATTTGTATTCATGTTCTCTGCTGTTCAGGCGGGAGTAGCTAAGACCCCAGCAGCTGAGCCAGGGACTCATTTTTCCCGTAAACAGCACTTCTCAGCAGGGACTGAACGGGAGCCCAGGCCTTAACTAGGTGATTAGATAGGAGTGTTTTTATCTGCCCTCCCTCTCCCAGGCAGGACCTTTAGAAATTGGTATTTCATTTGTTTTTAATAATGTCTAAATCTAGTATAGTATGCATGGAGAAACCAGAACTCCTTAATACTCTCTCTTGGGCTAAACTGAGCTCGTGTAATGTATTTAACCAATTATTTGGATGCATACTGAGAGCACTTTGAGAGCTAAAAGGTATGTACAGAAATGTTAGTACAAAATTCAGAACTAGCCTGGAAGTGTTTTGGTTGTTGCTGTTGTTCTAAGTCATGTCCGACTCTTGGTGACCCCATGGACTGCAGCACTCCAGGCTTCCTGGTCCTTCACTATCTCCTGGAGTTTGCTCAGATTCACGTTCATTGAGTCGGTGATGCTATCCAGCCGTCTCACCCTGCCGTCCCCTTCTCCTTCTGCCCTCAGTCTTTTCCAGCATCAGGGTTTTTTCCCAGTGAGTCAGCTCTTTGCATCAAGTGTTTTTAAGTACAAGTAATTGTTTACATTTTGTTATAAGCATACAACTATTCCAATATTTAGAAAAACCACAAAGCTAAACCCTAAGAAACAAAATAGAAAACACTACAGACACAATTTGAGAATAAAACATGAAACCATTTGAGAACAAAACATGAAGCCAGATCTCTCTTTCCTAATGTGAAAAAGCATAGAGGAGCAAGAGTTTCTCACCAGACATGGGAAAAGATACGTAAAGAGAAGTCTGTTCTTAACATTTTATGCATTTGGCTGTTGTATGGCTAGATCTACTTTCTTTTTCTTAGGTTTTGTAATACTTGGCTCATGATAAGTAACATTTTTAGCATTTGTTTATACTCCTGGGATATGGGGAATATCAGTTGCCTAGTCTACTTAATTGCTTTTCCATCTTTCTGCACTTTAACTCTTTCTTATCTGGTGTGCTGGTAGGTGTCACAATAGGTGCCTCTCTTGCAGGAGCTTCAAGCACAAGGCGTACAGCTGGCACAGATAGAGATGGAATGCACACAGATGCACAGAATGGGTGCTCTTTGTACAGCTGGCACAGATAGAGATGGAATGCACATACAGATGCACAGAATGGGTGCTCTTTGTTTGTGAGTTGCGTTGAGAGGATTTGGGAGGTTTGTGTATTCTGAAATTGCTCTTTTGCTTCCAGCTCCGATCAGAGGCCTGTTGTCCCTTCATCGAGATCTCGGTTTGCCTTCTCTGTGTCTGTGCTGGACCTTGACCTCAAGCCCTATGAGAGCATTCCTCATCAGTATAAACTGGATGGCAAGATAGTCAACTACTATTTAAAGACCGTACATGCCAAAGATGCTACTGTGATGTCGACGAGATTCAAGGAAAGTGAAGACTGCACGTTAGTTCTCCATAAGGTCTAACCTTTTTCTTGTAGTGGCTTTGACACTTGAACACAGAATGTGAAGGTTGAATGATACAGCTATTTTCTGTTGTGTTGGGTGACTTCTGGCTGTGAATGTTTTTGCTTTTCAACCCCTGTTCAGGTGGGACTGCCTCTGGGAGACATCGAATGCCCTTAGAGATAGCTTCCAGGACAAGGAATGTTGGATATGAACCCAGCAGTGTGCTGTGTCCCTGGAGGCCCCCCCGGGCAGTTCTCCCTTTCCATCCAGGGTTCACATCTAATCTCTAAAAAGCCTTATAAGACCCAAGGTTTGGATCTCCTACCACCAGAATCCTAACATAGAAAACTTGAATTGTCACATAGACCTTACAGTTTGGACTTTGAAGAAAACACAGATACTACTGGAACGTTCCCAGCTGAGTTACCTGGTCACTCTTCCAGCACAAGCCTCGTGTCAGCGCGGGTTTAGCAGCTCCCTGCTGTGGAGAGCAGAGTTGCCGATGTGCGCGCCAGTTCCCATCAGTGGGCTCACAGCCCGTGTGGAGGTGCCATACCCACTGCTCTGCTCAGGGTCAGCAGGCAGCGTGGGACTCAGGGCAGGGGCAGACACCACTCATGCGAGCACTGACTTTCTATTTTGTGTTGAATGATTTATCTTTAACTTTAGGGGAAACAAGGTATTCTTTCCCACCTGAAATTGCTGCTGTGGAAGCTGAAAGCAGAGCTGTAACTCTGAGCTGCTATGCCCAGGGTGGGTGTCATGGGGTGCCTGTGCTTCTGCCAGTTCTGTGTTCTGACATTTTTGGATGTTCGGGAAACCTCAGCTACTTCTGCCAGGGCCAGCATCCTGATTCGGGTTTCACTAGGATGTGTGGTGTTGATGGCCTTGAGTAATTCTGGACCACCTCCCCATCGGGGCTGCCCAAGGCCCTGCTTCTGCATGATGAGCAACTCCTGGCTGGCACCAAGAGGGTTCTTGTTGGGGTCACCAAAAGTGTGCCCAGCTGCTATGAAAACTGTTGGGAATCTTAGCTTCGGTTTTTTATTCTATGGTAGGTTGTATAGATTATTTATATCATCATTTTGAGGGACTAATGAAGGCTTATTGTAATATAATAGTGAAACCATGAGATTGTATGAAAATACTACACAAAAAATGAGAATATTTTGCTGATTATAATTTTTGTGGGGAATTTTGTGATAAATTGAGAATTATGCTTATTTGAATCAAGCCAGCTCTTCTAGAATTTTTTCTTCAGTCCTGTCCTACCATTTACTTCTTACTTCTTCACTCAGAGGTTCCAAAAGATATTCAAATAACACATGCCTGTCATTCATGTGGGATGCTGGGGTACAGGGCTGTGGAGATTCCACACATAGGGGTGTGCATGGAGCCCTGTTCTCATGGTCAAGTTGCAGGCTCCAGAGTGCATGGAAGTAGGTAGCTATCAGAGTTGTTTTGGCCTGAGGTTGTTCCTTGTTGCTGGCCTGGGGTGAGGATGGTCTTGCCCAGCACCAGGGTATGCAGGGGACCTGGAATCTCTTGTGTGTGGAGCTCTGAAACCCCAGCCCCTCAAGGAGGTGGGCTGGGCAGCCTCCTGTTGCCTATTCTAATTGGAGTGAACGGTCTGAAAACAATCACCCTCTATTTGGGGGAAAAAAAATTAAAGATGAGTATCTAGAAGGTCTTGACTGAACCCTTTGCACTTCTCACACTCCACCTCAGCCCCTTCCCTGAGGCTTTCATTTGATGGAAACAGTGTTTTCACCCATTCTACTTTAAACTGGCGACTCAGGTCAGTGCAGCACTTAGGACTCTGGGGGACTTTAATGAAAACACTGCTTCTTCTGTGCAGAGGGGCCGGGGGGCTAAGGCCCTGTGTGAAGGGACAGTGCCGTCTTGCTGTCTTACTGCATTTGTTAATGTTAACCAGTCTACTTTTTTGTGAAAGATCATGAAGAGTGAATGTCAGAGGACTTGCTGAGGTGCTGTGAAAGCCTTCAGTGCTGCTTCTAGAGCCCGGAGGTGAGGAGGGCGGCGTGGCTCCCCTGGGGTGTATGAGGAATGTGAAAGAATGAGGCGGCACTGGTAAGCCCTGCAGGAGTCCCTTGGGGGTGGATGGTAGGAGGAGGGCCAACCTTTGAGATGGGCTGGTGCCGCCTCTGCCCTTAGATTCATACCAAGGTAGGGGCACGGTGGCTCCCCGTGTCCCAGGATGGATAGCCACTTCTGTACTTTCTCGGATGTTGAGTTTACTTTTAAAAAATACACTATATGTGTCACTTGTTTGGTATTTTGAATTTAAATAACTGTATTTATTTTTCATGTCCTGACAACTTACATATAATGTGCCATAATTGCATAAACATGTTCTAAAGGTAAGGTTTCTAAGTGGAAAAGAGCAAATGTTTATATTGAATAAAATCACACACCTCCAGGTGCAGCATCTTACTCCTGTGTGTATTTGTTCACTGTTTGGAAATTAGCTGCTTTCCTCTGTGCAAAGTGATTTAATCAGGCTTTCTAGAGTGGCTTCAATGCCCAGCACGCCCAGTAGGGTTCGGAAGCTGAGAGGAGCAGTTTCTATGACTCTGTTCTTGTCCAGTTCCAGGGCTGTAAAGAAAACAAATCACATATCGGGTAAGACACTTCACCAAGACACTTCCCTCATTCTCAACTGGCCGAAATGAAGGGAAGCCAGGACAACTGAATCACAACCTTGAACCAAGCACCTCCCCACATGCCTGAGGCAGAGACATCAGGCATTCATAGCCTAAGTGGGCCTCAAAGGGGCAATCCCACATGCATGTGCTTTTTGAGTGATTATGGACAAAAAATATTTTGAAAACCTATTTTAAAAGTACATCAGTGACATTTTTTACTTTTTATTCTTGCCATATAAAACCAGATGAAATGAGTAGGTGTTTGTGTTGAGCACAGTGAGAAATCACCAGAACATCCCTACCTTGCAGCGGCACTTTGGTGAGAAGATCCAGCTTCGGCAAAACCTTCCCTTGCTCATCTATTTGTATCCTCCAAACAATGACTAGTTCAAACCTGAAAGAGGTAAGATGCATTGCTGAGTGCTTTTAAAATCAGACTAAACTGTATGCGGCACTTGACTCTCTCTCTAGAGCAGAGGATGCCTACATGGGCAAGAACGTCGCTCTCTTCCCAACCACCCTTGGCATTGCTGCCCTTCCCCAAGGCTGTGCTCAGACTCCCTTGATCTCAAAGACCCACAACTGAAGAGAGAGTATGGCCAGTTAAACATGAGAAGATATTCAACATCATTAACATACAGGAAAATGACCATAGTGAGATGCTGTTTTGTGCCCACTACATGTTAGTGTGACAGTACAAGTGAAGTACAGGATATCCAGCAATGAGAACTTAAAAGATTACTGGTGGGAAATACAAATTGATAAACTACTTTAAAAGGAATCTGGCAGTGATAGCTGAATCTGCCCTGTGACCCAGGAATTTCGTTTCTAAGTATATGCTCAAGAGAAGCCTATGTACTGTGTGCCCAAGGACATAAACAGGAATGTTAGAAACAGTGGAAGATAATGATAACCCAAAGGCCCAAGACTTGAAGAATGCAGAAATACATATATTCACCTAATTGAGTGTAAGCAGTGAAAATGAATTAGCTACAGCTATAGGCACCACTCGGAGAAGGCAATGGCACCCCACTCCAGTACTCTTGCCTGGGAAATCCCATGGACGGAGGAGCCTGGTAAGGTACAGTCCATGGGGTAGCTAAGAGTCGGGCACAACTGAGCGACTTCACTTTCACTCTTCACTTTCATGCACTGGAGAAGGAAATGGCAACCCAGTCCAGTGTTCTTGCCTGGAGAATCCCAGGGACGGGATCCTGGTAGGCTGCCTTCTATGGGGTTGCACAGAGTCGGGCACGACTGACGTGACTTAGCAGCAGCATAGGCACCACTATAGGTGAATTTTGGAAATAAGGTTGAATAACAAGGCATGTTCCAGAGACTTACATAACTACGCCATTTTAAGGCTTGGAACAAAACATCTTTAGGCGCAGGTCACAGAAGCACATCCTGCCCACGTGCACATAAAGGTACGCACAGTGGGTGGGAGGAGACCTGGATGACTTCTCCCCTCACTCAGTACTTGCAGACTCCCCACCTTTCTTGAAATAAGTTGATGAAACTAGAACCCCACCCCTCTGGCCTCCCGTCCCTAAGGACACCAGCAGTGCGGTGAGGCCGGCACCTGCTGGCCTTTTCCTTATAGACCCCGTTTGTGTTCACAGTCCCCACACTCCCCTCCCTCGCCCAGCAAGCTCCCCCTGGTGCTCTCCTGCCATCGCTGCCATCGGTTATCACTCCACAGACACATCTCAAGATGTCAGTTAGGTGGTTTACATTTGTTTTCTACTATTTGTAATCATTTTTAACAGGGAAGACCCATCTGGGATGGGGAGTGACTTGCTGGGGCCTGTGTACTCACCCAGGTCGACTGGGGTTCCTAATGCCCATGTAGCTGGAGGAGGCCCCCTCTGAGAGCTGCACAGCCTCTGGGTACTTTTCCTGTGGGGAGAAGAAATGGTTAGCAAAATCTGTGGGGTGTGTCTTGCATTCCCTGAAAGTCTAATTATCAGGCGTGCCACTTTCTCATCTAGACATCATGGCATCCTGGCAGAACCTATGGGCTTCAGAGGATGGGGTCTTCCTGAGGCCACAGGTAGTTGATGGGCTGAACAAAATAAGCTCCCTCAAATGAGGTCTTGTGGGGACAAACATGTGTCACAGCTTTTAAAGGACCAGCCCACAGATCAGTGAGCTTGCTGCCAGCGTGTGAGGCCAGTGCTCTCAGACCCGTGTGTGAAAGGTGCTGATGGAGCAAGAACACATCCAAACACCAAGCCATTCTGACCAAAGGCTGGCGTGGGCCTGGTTTAAACTTACAGATGATTTCTAATTTCAGGGAAACAGTTTTTATGAGAAAATGTATACCTAAATTTTTTAAATGGAAAGTGCTGGCTGGTTTTTAAACCTCAGGCTCTTCTAAATTAATAACAACTGTATGAGGAATGTAAAGGAGAACATGTGACTGTGGCAGTGTAACTTCCAGGCTGAGCTGAAAGCACGTGGCTTGGGCCAGTTCCAGCGTGAGGCCCAAGGGCTTGGTCTGCCTCCAGGCAGACCTCAGCCTCTCTAAGCCTTCTTCTCCTGAGCAAAAGGAGGCTTTAGATTGGAAGCTTTCACTAAAAAAAGAATAAAATGTACTCCTTTTAGTTTTTAAAATAAAAACCAAAAGTAAAAATGCTGACATTAGGAAGAGATAGGGCATTTCTGGAGAGCTCTTAGGGACTTGTGTGGCAAGTTTCCTTTTATACAAGTTAATAATATTGCCCCATTTATCCAGCTTCATTCACTTGCCTGGTGACCTCAAATATTCAAAGCTGACAGGAAGAAAGCAACTAAAGGCTGAAGAGCAGCCCAGAGACACAACATAAACAGCAAAGTCTAGATACTATCGCTGATAGAAATGCAAAGCATGGGTCTCATCGATAGAGTGTACATATACAAGTGGCCTGGAGGGAGAAGACAGAAAAGTTGGAAAAAGTGATACAACTAAATGCAAAGTGTGTCTGAGGTCACAGCCAAATATCAGTACATTTCAAAAGCAATTAAAAGTTCTCCATATTACTGTGTTTGACATTCAAAAAAGACAACAGAATCACCAAGAAAGGATTGAGAAGATGTACTCAGATAAGGCAGCCATCTGGCCAGTGTGTTTTACAATATTTAACATGAAAAATAGCTACACACACAAAAAAAAGGTTGACAGGAAAGTTATCAGCCTGACTTGGAAATCACATTAGACATTTCACATTCTGCCACTAGTAAAACTAAGGTCCAGGCCTGGTACCTAAAGGGAGCAAATGGGAGCCTTGTGCTTCACTGTGTGTTGGGAAGGCTGGGAACAGGCTGCGTTGTGCTGATCCTGTGCATACACTGGGCCTGTCAGTCTTTCACAGGAAGTCTGTCCTAAGTGGTGATTCAAAATGGATGTTTAGAACTTGCCTTGTGGTCCAGTGATTAAAAACTCGATGCTCCTGATATTGGGGCATGAGTTCGATCCCTGATCAAATTAAGATCCTGCATGATACCAGGCTCCTCTGTCCATGGAATTTTCCAGGGGGACCTTCCCTACCTAGGGATCGAACCCAGGTCTCCCGCATTGCAGGCAGACATCTGAGCCACCAGGGAAGCCGCATGATACACAGTGCAGCCAAAAAAGGGGGTGCGGATTGTGTGTGTGTTTACTTAGCTGCTTGCCATGTGCCTGGAGCCTGCAGTCAAGAACTCTCCTGGTGTTTATGATAGAAAAAAATGGTAGCTTTAAGAAAGCTGGGAATTTGTTATTCATCCCAGTTTTCTACCTGAGACCCACTTTACTGTTGGAATGGCTGCTGGATGCTGGTCCAAAGGGAAGAGAATTTTAAACAGAACTTTAGAGAAAACCAACCATGTGTTACGGATCAGTCATACTATCCCAGTTCACTCCCCCCTGCCACTTAAATGAATGGGAAACCTTGAATCTTGAGTTTAAATGTATCCTTGAGTGTTCACAGATATCTAGAGTGAGTGGTAGTCATGATACCCCTCATCCCTGGACACTCAGTGGCATTTCCCCAAACAGGGCCATCTTCCTGCTTTACCAAAACACAGCATTCCAACCAGAAATTTTCAGATGTTTCCAGCTCCCTCCTGTGACCCTCACATTCCCCCAGGCAGTTTAGGCAGTTTGGAAAATGAGGCCTCTTGGGCCTTAGTCCAGGTCTGATGTCTCCTCATGATGCCACATTGGGAGTGCTCCAGAAATGCTGCTGCGCTTCTGGGGTGACCCAAAAGCCACCCTTTCCCCTCTGTTATTGGAATTTTCCAAGGGGACATCATGAGACCAGGCCACTGTCTGGTTCCTCAGTCAGACATCCACTCACCAGCCTGGGTCTGCTGGTGCCTCAGAGCTGAGTCAACCACACGAGGGGTGCCAAAGGGTGACTGTCTCCATCATTCCTTCCACACTGGCAAGTGGATTTTCACCAGAAAAACGAGCTTTTACTTCTCCCTTATTTATTTGCTATCGGCACTGACTCACAGATCACTGATTTATTCAACGTATATCAGTGTTTCTTTAGGATGCTGATGGTATTTAGAAACCAAGACCTAGGCTCACTGCTCCTGGGGCTTTGGTGGCTTAGGGCTCCTCAGGGGAAAGAACTTGGTAAGACAGGTTGGGTGTGACACATGCACATATCATAGCCCCTTGGGAATCCTGCACACACGTACTAACAAACGAGCAGGCGATGACCTCAATACCTCTGTCCACCCCCCAGAATTCTCTATCTAGCCTTCTTGTTCTGCAGCTATAAAATCACTCTACTAGGCAGGAAAAGAGCTTACACAAATAATCCCTTTATACCTTCCCTGTTTAGAATGGAAAGGGGAAAGTTAGGCAAGCAAAAGCAGTCAAATATATAGCCAAGAAACATACACCCTGCAATAAATCTGAAGGCAAGTGTACCCTTAAAAGATCTACTCCATTAAGAATACTAGACAATAAACATCACTTCAGGTGGGGATATAAGTCCAAGAAGTAGTTCTTAAGATTTTTAAGATTGTCATTTTCATTCTAACTAATTGGGTAGCAATTGTACACTTTTATATGTAGTCTGTTCCCTTCTAGACTAATAATTAAAAAGCAAGGCAAGTTGGTTTCTTTTACAATAGTCAGAAATGATACTTAAGAAGCTGAATACACACACACACATACATGTAATAATCAATGCTAGAAACTTTTTAGAGGTAATTTCACAACTTTGTCTTCATACAGTTTTTAAAATCTAATTGTGCCAGCAAAATAATGAAATGCAGGCAGATGATGAAAGTAATATTCAGATATTCACTGGCAATTTTATTGTTCCTAATAAAACTCTCATTATTTTATATATCTCAAAGTAATGTGCAAAGCATTGAAACTGATTATAATTTAAAGTTACTATGGTCTGGGGACTTTCCTAGTGGCCCAGTGGCTAAGACTCTGTGGTCCCAATGAAGGGGGCTTGGGTTCAATCCCTGGTCAGGGAACTAGATCCCACGCGCTGCACCTAAAGACTGCACATGCCACAGCTAAGAGCCGGCATAGCCAAATAAAAAATACTTTTTTAAAAGTTAAAAAAGAGAAGTTATTATGGTCTAATCTAAATTTTTTCATAGAGTCACAGACTTTTTGAGCTTTAAAGGTGTTTTCTCTTTCAAAAGACATTACACGTCCACACTGCCACATACAATTTACTGACCTCTTAACAGTTATAGGCCCCATGTCCTTAACAGGCACTAGCTCATTCAAAGATGACAGCAGTCATGTGAAGCCATTGGTATAATGCCCATTTAAATGAAACTGAGGCTTGAAAAAATTAAGATACTTGCTCAAGATTACACAATTAGTAAACTGATTCAAACCTAAGGCAATCAGATTCCAAAACCTGAGCTCAGAAATAATACTACCATTTCACATTTCTAAATTCAACTATAGTTGTAATACAGAGGCCAAGTGTGATTACAATCAACTTGTAACATAATTCATGCTGGCAACTGATTTTGAAGGCAGAAACAAAACCATTTTTATTGGGAAACATAATAGCCCCTAAAGGTTTATTCACATATTCCATATGGTATAAGACTTATTAGGTCCCTAATGGTAATGGGCTCCTGATCTAGTGCAAGCAACTTGCTGTGTGTATATTTTTTGGCTGCACTATGTGGCTTGCTAGGTCTCATTCCTGGACCACGGATTGAACCCACGCCACGGCAGTGAAAGCCCAGAATCCTATCCACTAGGCTAGCAAGGAATTCCCCTGTGCCTGTTTTTTATTAGAGGTTTAGTTTTCTCTCCAGAGGCGTGAGGTTGTATTGCAGAGTCCAGGCCCCCTGTAGTAGTGCCAAGCTTCCTCACATAGGCCTCTGTCAGGGCGAGGATGGACTGCCTCTCATATAGACTTTCTACTAATTCTCCTACCCACAGTCTCTCTTTCAGAGGTTCCACAGAACAAATTGGTTGATTTGTTCCTTCCTCCAAGGAAGATAGCTTTCTCAGTCTCCTGCGTGCTGAGAGTCACACACGGCTGGAAAGCTCTGGCTTGGAGGCCATTTTTCAGTGGCAATGGCCCCTGAGGCCCTGCCCCCAGGGTCAGTTCCCATATTCCCAGGGAAAGTCAAAGCAACCTCCAAACGACTGTTCCCGTTCCGGCACGGCATGTTCCCTTCAGGGGTTAGGTCTCAGCTTTGTCTGGGCCTCGTCAAACTATAATTATCTGCTTCCTGAATGTACTGCTGCCTTCTCTGGCCTAGTCTGTCTTTTAAAACTCTCTCTACTGTCATTTCTGAAGAATTTTAGCAGAGTGGCTGATGAAGGTGGTATATTTCAATTGTCCACTTTTGAGGCCTTTTACATTTATGTTTTCAATTTC